ATAGATTAAACTTCTTTAACTGATAAATTAACTAAATTACGGAGTTAGATGGTTTGTTTCATTCTAACAGTCACTTAACTATCAACCTATGTCAAATCTGGACCTTTAACTTTGTTGTATTCTATCAACTTGATGTCACAGCCACCTTCAGTCAATTCTAATAATCTAGAGGCAATAGAAACTGATCTTTACAGCCTGATAGTCATCGCTATACCAAATGGTCACGGTGTGACAGTTAAGGTTGTCTATTTGTAACCACTAGATGAGGAGTTCAACACCGATAGATACATGTACTGATAATCTTTGTAATTCCTATTCTTCAGTCACAAACACTTATTATCCTATATTATATTATATTCCAAAATGAATACGGTTGTAAGCATCTGATGAGAACACACGAAATAACAATATCAAAAAGAGAATAAGAATTTGAAATAAAGTAAAATCACCAGCAAATCATATTTCATATCTGATTAGCTCCTACTCAGCCGTCTATCATGAATTATTTATAAGAATATCATGTTTAGCAAGTTTGGAAATGAAAGTTTATTCAATACATATAAAAGTCTGAAAAACAAAATAATAGAATGGGAAAAGAAAACAATCAGTTAAAAATAGAACAGATCAATGACCGCTAACAACTGATGTTTCATAAGGAATATTCAAATTAGTTATCAAATAAAACAATTAAGTTTATCAATAATTCTTAGTGAAGAAACTATTTTTTCATTCGTGAAAATGTTAAACTAAACCATTTTAAAGAGCTTCTTATTGCTATTTTGCACGATGTCACACTAATTCATCATCATAGTTCACAAGATCTAATTGTACTGATGATCATCTCATCGTTCAGATAATTTCCTTCTGATAAAATAAATAATTGGCTAGTTCGTAAAGAAAAACAGTATTAAACACTACAGCTACTTCTAATACCGACTGACAAAATTCCAAATTGAAAGTATTTTATCTTTGGGAATTTATAAAATGATTGTTTTACGTAACATATCTACTCTTTGATTTTACACTACATAAATGATATATGGAGTGAAAGAACATATTTAACTTGAGGATACACTTATAGGGGAGTGTGGGGAGTAGTGTAACGTCGTGTACTATATTACACCTACATAGCTTATTCTAGTTTCTGGACAAGCCAATTCACCTATAACGTTATGAGTCATGTTTTGATCTTGTTAATTATTCGCTTATTGACCTTGACTATTTTTTTATATGAGCGTATGTGTATGCACACTTCTTATCCTACCTATCACATGTCTGTCATTCATTTTAGCCTGACTATAAATGTTGATTAATGCTTGCTTATAACGAGTTGGCTTCCCAGCCATCTCCACTCTGCGTCATCTTTCCTTCGCTTGCTTACATTTGCTAATGTGCTCACTGCCTTCTAGACCATGTTATTTATCAATAAAAATGTAGTTGCTGCTTCCCTTTGTCTTCTGATATTATACACCGTTCAGATTGTTATAATAACGGTTATCAAGACGATCGATTAACGAAGCACTACACTACAGGAGAAAGAAAAATCATTTAGTAGGAATACAAATCTATGCTGAATAGAATTATCAAGACATCTATTACATATGAAAATTGTTAGGAAGAGCGAATTTTCTGAACAGAGTACTTGAGATGAAACAAATCAGTGATCAGAGATCTAAAGGTAAAAAAGTTACTAACCCCCTAAAGTAGTACAGGTATCTTATATGGTTGGTTAATTATTCTCAAATAAACATTAGGCAAAACACAACCAGGCAGTTGAAAAGAACTAAGTAGATATCTAAAAGAAGTAAGTGACCAGAAACGCCTAATCATGTGTTTATAGTCCAATTCAACTTGAAAGACAAGTAAATAATTCAAGTTTAATTAATACTCAGCATTCAAAAATCTATAAGAATAACTGATGTAATTGATTTTTTAAAAAACGATAGCATAAAACGAAGACAAAGAAGATAGAAAGAGTGAATAGGTTAACACAAAAGTGATCAAACACAGTAAAGGAATTTCAGAAGAGATCAGAAGGATCCCAACTTCGAAATACAAGAGTATTCTTTAGGACAAACAATACTTTAAGATCAAAACCGGTAAGAATCAAATATCCAATACACAGGGAGGGACAACAAAGTTATGTTTATAAAATCAAATGTAGTGAATGTAATGCTACATATGCATGCGAAACTGTGGTGTTTGTATGAACTAATGATTCTTTTGTACTTGGTATCTGCCTGTTTTGAATTCCAAATACAATACGTTCGTTTGTGATCAATTAGTTGTTTGGTTTAAATTGTATTATTTCGGGGATTCCTAGTTCGTATAATAATTCAAATACTTCTAATAATCACCGTTTTCTTAAAAATCAGAGCCGATAAATAGTCAATGAAGTTTCTTCTCACACCTCAGATCCGCTGACGAATACACACAATCTGCTCGTTTCACACCACGTGTCTCATACACGTTATAGCGAATACCTACTTTAAACATTGTTAACGTGTTTGGATGACCGGTTTAGTATATAGTTAACCAGAGAGCCATGTACTTATTTATATTCGATAATTTTTGAGTCACGTTATATTTCCTTGGAGAAACTAGAACCAGATTGCCAGGCGAAACGTTGGATTTACTTCAAATTCATTCGCTGAGATTTTACAAATACACTCTTCCCTCTTAATGTCTCACATTAACTCGGCGCTCGAGTACTGTGAAACTATCCGATCAAATTTAGACGAAAGTCATTATATAACATAAACTTGCTTGAAATTGAATTCATATCCATCACCACTCAGTATTTAATTCTTGTGCAGCCGATTCACCGGGGAGTTACTCTCTGAAAGCCATCCCACACCGGTAAAAAAATAACCAGAAAATTCGAAATTCTCATTTCACATGTAGCTGCTTACTGCCATCTTTAAGTCTTGATAAGTTGTGATACCTTGAAATCTTCTTGTCCTATACAGATTGACTACTACGGACTACTAACTCTCCCCTAACCAGTATATCTAAGAAATATAAATTTGCTGATCCAAATACATATACAATAGTCCTGCACACAACCTATGTTAAATGAAAGATTATTTTTTAAATCTCACAAACAGCTTGAAAATGTCAAAATAACGATTTACATTCGTATTAAGATCTCGTCATGAATCAATCCACTTGACCAAATGTATCACCTAAAAGTAAACCCAGAAACAACAAAACTATATTAGATGAACCCCTAAGTAGCATTTTGCAATTAACAGATAAGAACATTTTTCATGGTCACACCCACGGAGTTTAGGAGGTTCTTCACAATGACCACGACTAACAGAATTATATTGGCAGTTTTAGCTCACAACATGATAACTACAGAAGAGTTGAGTGATAGAAAGGAGTCAGAAAATATTGTATCCAGAATTGCATCTGGAATAAAGTCTAACAATGATAGGTTTTATGGTCTTGACAAAAAGGAAATCCAAACCAGTTCTGTTTTTTAGGAAACCCGTTAGATCTTGTCTTTTTTATAGGACTAAATTGGAATTTCTAAACTGCCCAAGGACTTTAAAGACAACTTCGTATTCTCGTTCACATGAACGACTTCAAAGTTTTTATCAACATGACCACCAGATATGAACAATTCGATACGTTTGACAAGTTATCTCGACAATGAAAGACACTGGTACAAATCTGATATATTAACGGTCGGATCTTATCTTTAAATAAAAATATACAGTTACAGATGAGATTCTGCGTTTTTACCCCAGAATCTGGAATATGATCTGATTCGTAAACTCTTAACACAATTCGAAATATGGTAGGTTTTTATGTCCAAAGACTACATTCATGTGTCAAGTTTTTGAGGAATTTGGGATTTTTAAGACTGTCACAAAGCCAAAACTAACCTACAATGAATCAATAAAACTTTTGAAATTACGCGACAAGTTTAGTTTCTTATCCATCAGTGGACAGTTTTCGATGTCACAATGTATTCTTTAGCGTCGATATTATTTTAAAATCTAGGTTTTGAAGCGCAACCAATAAATTTGTAATTTATATATCACCGTACTTCATCTACGTTTACGGTGAACAAACACAATTAACTGTAATAAAGTAGCCAGGGCTTTATGCATGTGTTGATGAGAATAACTGTAATGCCAAAAAGTGCATAGTTTTTCGAAACAATAAAGTAGTATACCTCACCCATACTTCGAGATTTTGTCAACCTTTCATTGTCTGTGCAAAAATTACTTTCAACAACCCGGCTAATTTCATGTAATTGGTTCCCTTAATTCCAATTCAACTAATAGTTTAAGAAAACATAATCCAAAAACATTAATGAGAAAGATCGATCATGAAGTAAATTATGTACCCAAGACATGAAATCTTATTTGCCCCCAAATGTCCTGGTACAGCCGGGGAGAGTTAGCTCTCCCTCTCGAAATGTTCTCATATGGCCACGTGCATACACTGCCAGAGAAGTCCTACTTTATGCTTTCTCTAGGCAGAGGTGTTGTTTACGAAATTGATAGGACGATAAGCGAATATCCGGCGCTTTAACCGGGTTGGTGGACATGGAGGATCCACCTGGAGGAATAGGAAAATACTGACCTCAAACCAATGGTGTACATGGGCTCCAGTATCCTGAGGGAACAAATGGCGTATGAACCAATTGTTGGTCACCGGCTGCCATGGGACTGCATCTCCTAATGTTACTCCACTTCCATGTGAATCTGACCTTTAAGTCAAAGGTTTCAGGTGTAGCCCTCTAAGAAAACCACCTGCTTCGGTCTGGGTTCCCGGACACTATCACAGCCCTCACACAAATCAATGACAACTGCTACTGGCCTCATTGCTATTGCGTGGCACATATGTATTTTGGTGCCCTCCTCGTAACAATGTTAATGCGTTCAAATAAATAAATAAATAATAAGTTTAAAACATTAAGTAATCAGTCGTGTATTTTGACAAAAATAAAATCACAGTTTCAACATTAATAACTATACATATGACTAAAGAAATCGGAGAATAAACCAACACATGAGGAAAATGATGGACACGAATACAATTACATAACAACATAATCCAGAGGATAAATTCTGTTTAGCAATTCGAGATAATCGAGACATTGTAGAACGAAGAACACCTTCAGATCGATCAAACGCTCCAGCCATATCTCCAAGTAAACTATTTTGGGATCGTAATTCATCTCCTATTTTTATCGAAAGACTACGAAGTCCGTCAACTTTCTCTCTAAGTTCAAGGTTGAGACGTTCATGATCATCATGTACAGGTCTTGGCAAGTATTCTGAAGTGCTACTAGCTAAGTTTGCAGATGCACTAATCCTCCCATGTTTCTGTTGAGAATAAACATATTTATCACGAGAAGTCATGAAACTATTGGAATTTGAATGCATTTGCTATGTGCACCTCAGATCCATTTAGTGCACTGCACAAAACAGTTGTCAAGATACCTATAAAATCAAGAGATAAGCTTGACTTTTTGTTAATGAAGTGGTAATAAACGTTTATAAACAAAGTGTATGCAGACCAAAATATGTAAAAAAAACCGTTTACTTGATATGAATTCTTTCAATTATGCCAACTAAACAAAGTGAATGAGAAAAATAAACATGTTGAATAACGAAGTGTTATACGTTAAATTATGTGACAAGATCATTAGATTGACTTCGAACCGAACTATGGTTACCAATCAATCAGCTAATTTGACGTTTTAGATATACAAAGAATAAAATAGGAGTCCTTGTGGTGCTGTCTGTTTCTTCCTCTTTTCAATGGCGCACACTTAATTTACGGCATTTCTACTTACCAATCAATCTGTCAATTTTTGTTCAGTTGAAAATGTCTTTTCTTTCGCTAATTTCCTATCGCCGTTATGGCAAGGTATTATCATCTTGGATCCATGGATTATGCCCATCATCGATCAACTCAGTTATAACATTATATAAAATGAATAATACATAAAGGTGTAGACTTTACATTACACAACATAATACAGAGAAAACTGTAATAGACAAGCAGTTCGAAAATATATTTAGTAATTTGAATACATAAATATTGGTACAAAGGGGCATCAAGTACATATGCGCCACACAATAACAATGAGAATGTGAAGAGATGAAGAATGTAGGGTGCGTATAAGAAAAAGAGGAACAATAACGAACAGAAATTAGTGTATGAGCGTATAATAATAATAATAATAATAATAATAATAATAATAATAATAATAATAATAATAATAATAATAATAATAATAATAATAATAATAATAATAATAATAATAATAATAATAATAATAATAATAATAATAATAATAATAATAATAATAATAATAATAATAATAATAATAATAATAATAATAATAATAATAATAATAATAATAATAATAATAATAATAATAATAATAATAATAATAATAATAATAATAATAATAATAATAATAATAATAATAATAATAATAATAATAATAATAATAATAATAATAATAATAATAATAATAATAATAATAATAATAATAATAATAATAATAATAATAATAATAATAATAATAATAATAATAATAATAATAATAATAATAATAATAATAATAATAATAATAATAATAATAATAATAATAATAATAATAATAATAATAATAATAATAATAATAATAATAATAATAATAATAATAATAATAATAATAATAATAATAATAATAATAATAATAATAATAATAATAATAATAATAATAATAATAATAATAATAATAATAATAATAATAATAATAATAATAATAATAATAATAATAATAATAATAATAATAATAATAATAATAATAATAATAATAGGAGAGGCAGCTCAGTTAGCAAAGGTACAACCAGAAAAAATTATTACATTTGAAGTTACGTCCATTTTTTATGAAGAAAGTGACAGCAGGATCACCAATAGCTTCTATTCTGAGCCATATCTGATAACGTCTCTAGCCATTGTGTTGCATCATTTCTCAGACCCAATCCAGGGAGTCGTGAAGGACCAACAGAAGCTAGCCCTTTGTAGCTTACTTCCATACCACGACACCATGTCATACACTAACCACTTCTCCGCTTTACCCAACCAGTCCCAGCATCGGCAAATAATGAACGACGTGGAATTCTCTGGGACGACATTCGTAGAACATGTCCAAGCCACCGAAGTCGGTGTTTCAAGAGTGACACCAGTTGAATTATCGTCGCTGTACCGAACACACGAAGCCGAACCTCTGCATTACTAACATGGTGTTGCCACTGTATGTCAGCAATCCTTCGGAGACAACGATGATCGAACACAGAGAGTCGTCTGACATCCTCAACTCGGAGAGACCAGGTTTCACAAGCATAGAGCAAAACTGCTCTCACCGACGCGCTGTAGATCCGACCTTTTACAGCCAAACTAACATCAAAAAGGTACCGAAAGTGGCCCACATTAGCATAAGCCGTTCCGGCTTTCACTATACGTAAATCTACCTCATCACTCACGCCACCACCAGCACTTATGCAGCTACCCACATACACGAACTTTTCGACTACTTATATCCGCTCACTAACCAGGGTCCTGCCAGTCTAGTAAAAGTACTTTACACTTCGAGGATGCAAAGCACATACCATACCTGCGGATCGCATGGCCTGAGTATCATTGCAAAGTAAGACAACACCGACGTCGAGAAGTATTTCTCTAAACAACAGATCCACAACATCATTACCTGCATCCATCAGAGCTGTTTCCAAAACGTTATTGATAGCAAAGTTGAAGAGGAATGGTGAGATTGGGCAACCCTATCTAACCCACTGCTTGAATGGAACAATGGAGAGAAATGGTTGTATGCCATCACTCTGCCTGGGGTGTTTGTATATAGGGCTTTAAAGGTGCTAATAAACTTCTCAGGTACACCCTTCTTCAATAAACAATCCCAGAGAACAGTTTTGTCTAACCAATCGAAGGCAGCCCTGATGTCAAGAAACACTACGATCGTTGGTCTGTGACAAGGATGACGGTGTTCTAACATTTGACGGAGGGTGAAGATATGATCAATACATCCTTTAACAGAACGAAAACCAGCCTGCTACTCGAGAGTCAATCTTTCTCGGGTTTTGAACAATCTACGAAGTATGAAGGAAGCCAATAGTTTGGACGCAATCGGAAGTAGACTTATCCCCCGATAGTTCTTACAGAAACAACGTAAACCGTTTTTAAAGATAGGGACAACTACCGACTCATCCCATGATGTTGGACACTCTAACTGCCAAACCTTTGTAAACAACTCAGACAGTTCCCTAACCAGAAAGACACCACCATCTTTAAAAAGAGCCGGAGGTAAGTCATCCGGGTTCGGTGATTTGTAGCGCTTCAAGTCTCTTGAGGACTTCTGCCTCGTTTGATGGATCAGTCGTCACAGGCCACGAAGGGCAGGACAGTCTGATCGATGTTGTCGTGGCAGCAGGCCAGTTGGACTGCTCCTCAAGAAAACTCTGCCCATCGTCCGAGACGTCGGTAGATGTTAGTGATTGGTACCTCATCACCTTCACAGATCGTTTCGCTCACACCAGACTTCTTGCTGCCAGTTGCTCCGATGAGTTGAAATAGCTTCCGGCAGTCGTCAGATGCAACTGCTGCTTTCAACTCGTTAGCACGCTCCAACCACCAGGCTTCTCCGTCTTTAAGCAAACTTTGCCCAATTTCATTGTTCGACAGTCTTCGTTTATAGTTAAGCTCGCGGTCATTTGCAGTAGACCGACGGGCTTCAATTAGTTGTAAGTAGCCTGAAGAAACTCAGTGCTTATAAGCAGGCCGTTTCGCGAAGCTGCAAGCGACTTTACTCGCCATTTTCATGGCGTCATGCAATTGCAACTAATGCTCATATATACTTTTTGGTGGGATGGTAGCTAGACTTGAACATAGCTTGGGTTGATAATTAGTTGCTACAGAAGCTGCAACCAATTTACTGACATCGATCAGTTTATGACGAATAATTTGTTGACTACTGAAAAGTAAAGCAAGACTAGTACAAACAAAGGCATGATCAGAGCTTAAATGGGTACTTCAAAAGGAGCGGTAGTCTTGTACACAACCACGCCAATGGTAGTTGATCGTGATGTGACCGATCTGACGAAAAAACATCGTTTAACACACCGATTTCTCACTTTGATGAAACTTTCTAATCAAATAGCACATATCTGACTGTTAATGAGGATCCAATCGATCAGTGAAATCCCAGCTCCAGCGCTCAGTGTGGTGTCAACGCCGGCAAAATCAGACAAAGATGCCACAGAGTCCCCAGACGAACTCACATGAAACAAGCTTTTCGAAGCGACAGATGGAGAGCGGATTTGTAGTACTTCACTAGAGTTTCAAATACGGGTCTCGGATAGACAACAGAAGTTGATATTAAAACTTTCTAAAGACACAGCCAACCCTATCTGTTGTCCGATCTGCATTAGTGTGAGAACCTTGAAGGAAGCCAGTTTGAATGGTATACGTGGTTTCAAAAAGACTGTTTCAGTATTCGTATTCGGTGGTAGCATTCAACTTCCGACTAATCAGTGACTCGAGATCGTTTAGATAGGATAGGGTTTCCACAATAAATGAGCTGCTGTATAAGTTGAAAAATAAAAATGTACGAAGTGAGAATAGAAGCGAACAGATAAGTGACGCCATTTGTTCTTTCGGGATATTGGAGCCCATGTGCACCATTGGCTTGAGGTCAGAATTTTCCTATTCCTCCAGGTGAATCCTCCATGTCCACCAATCCGGTTAAAGCGCTGGATATTCGCTTATCGTCCTCTCAATTTCGTAAACAACACCCCCGCCTAGAGAAGGCAAAGAGTACTACTTCCCTGGCAGTGGCTGTGTACATTTAGCCATATGAGGTTAGTCAGCTACAACGTAGGATGAGGCACATATATGCATCGGTCCAAATTGCAACGCCTCATTGGCACAAGAAGATGGACACCAAATTCATAAAGGTAATCATATATAACAATATAATATATAAAAGAAAGGTTGCATACAATAATATAATATAGGAAGGAAGAATCGGTTCGTAGAAAGAAAGGTATAAAGCAATTCCAATCTCACGAATTAAGGGAAGACAAAGAGTGTATACACTCACGTCATTGTGATTCAATCTGAGTTATGTCACACAGAGTCTCCAACCATTGGTTATGATAGTCGCGCGGACCCCAAACAAGTGGTTTGCATCTACCAACATAGCTCAGACCACAAGTTAGTGACTTCAGGGACTGATGCCACGTTTTGGTCTGGTCGCCCCTAACTTTCAACCATTTCCAACACTAGTCAGCATTGTGCGTCGTGGTAATCGGTGTTTAGGCATACGTAACACGTGGTCCAAACATCTCAGTCGGTGAACACTCATAACCTCATCAACTGATTTACCATCATTCCC